ATATATATATATATATATATATATATATATATATATATATATATATATATATATATATATATATATATATATATATATATATATATATGTATAAATGTGTATATGTACATGTATATAAATGTGCATATGTATATGTACACTTTTTTATATAAATATGCCTTTTATGTTATATAAATATGTACACTTTGTTATATATACTATATAGTATCCGTAAAATAATAGCACCATCGAAAGGCGTGCATGGTTATATAGATTTTGTCCTCTGATTTCTTTTGATCACTTCCTAAATTTTTGACTACTTCTGATTATTTTCTTTTGACTACCGTACGTTTTGACTACTTTCTTAATTCTCTGGCATTGCTCTGTTGTCCCTTACACTGATTGCTCTGTTGTCCCGCTTACACTGTAAAAGTAAAACTAGAATTTTGAATTGACTGTCGCGTGAGTGCAAGTCGTTCTCATCGGACTACATTCGTGGCTAATCAGGCTGCTACGAACAAATACAACGTAATAAGGGGGGTTCTTCAATGGAGGCCGTGGTGCATAAACTGCCATAAACTTTCAGTTCGATAGTTGTGTCTTTAAAACCTCTGCGTTCATAAAACACGATTTTCGGCATTTTAAGTGATGTTATAAAATGTATAGTTATATTATTATTATTATTATTATTATTATTATTATTATTATTATTATTATTATTATTATTATTATTATTATTATTATTAAAACATCTTTATACACGGTAGGTAATCAACTATAAAATATTTACAAAGTTTTCGTTGCTTTTCATTAGGCCGTGTAGTTACAAACAGTATAAGAAACTCCCATCCACCCTCCCCATATAATAACAGTAAAATCTTCACACTCAAACCCCACCCAAATAAGATAAAAGATAATTCAAGAGTTTTTATTTCTCTCATTCCAAACTTTAGCAGCAGCGTAACCGAAAGTACGTTTCATTGAATTTGTTTTTGGCTTTGACAACATCAACTTATTATTATTGCTTCGTAATTCATATCTTACAGAGTTGGATAATGTGAACATATCCGAAATGTTCTTAGGACATTGGCATGTAAGAGCTTTTGATACGTATTTTAGTTGTTGTTCCTTCCTTCTTTCACTTAACGTTTTTCATTCTAGTTTCTGTAAAATATCAATCGAGCATATTTCATATGGGTCGCCGGTAATAACTCTAGCAGCTCGGTTTTGAAGCTTCTGAAGCTTCCCTCTTAAATATTCACCACAGTTACCCCAAACCATTCAGCAGTAATCAAAGTGTGGTTGAACTAGGGCTTGGTAGAGATGTTGAAGAGTTTTGGTTGGAACATAGGGTTTTACACGGCGCAACATGCCAATGCCCTTTGAAGCTTTTTTACTGATGTTGTCAATCTGCTTATCCCAGCATAGATGCTCGTCAACCAATACGCCTATACTATAAGGTCTTTTTGGTTTCAACTTCTTTTAATACTTTCCCATCGATAGAAACATTAATGTATTGAGAAAGATTATTCAACCTTTGACGTGTTCCAATGATCATATATTCCGTTTTTTCTACATTTAACGTTAATTTGTTTGAAAGAAGCCAGTGATGAATATTTTCCAATTCACTATTTAAGGCCTCTTCCACATGAATTAAACTATAGATGAACGCACTGTAATATTTGTATCATCAGCATACATTGCTGCATGTGAGTTCTCCATACAGTTTGGGAGATCGTTCACATATAACAAAAATAGAAGAGGACCAAGATTTGATATCATATTAAGACAAGAAAATACCATCATTAGAGGGCTCATCAGTCCGAATACCATCTTAAATATAAGGCAAATTACCATTACTGCATGGCCAAACTCTTTTGAAAACTAATGATAATGCCAAATCTTATTAAATTGGTAAAAATCTGTTATCATTATTATTCGTTATGTCTCGATTAAAATCTAAAGGGAGGCTCAGCCCCCCCCCCCCCAAGAAAAACCGAATGCAAAATTTTAACACGGGGGCTAAGCCCCCTTCTACTGTATACATACACTCTTGACCATTAAATATTTCCCCCATCTATTCCCATAGATGGGGGAAATATTTTTGTGACTATTTTTTACTTGTTATCAGTGGCCTCAGGAGGTGCGTTACGCCACTGATATTTGTTCCTCTGTTGGACGCGGTTGTGTCATGTATTTTCCCGAAAACAAAGCGCGGACGTGGCTTTCGTTGATTCAAGCCGAAATGATTTCTGGGAAATAATATGCAAATTCTGGAACGGCTTTAGCGTCTTCAGTAGTGCAAGATTTGTGAGGAAAATGGATCCACCGGCACAGGAAGAGACAGAAAAGGAACTGTACGAGATGTTCCTAAAAGAACGTAGCGATATTCTCGAAGAAATCGAGGAATTCCTAAACATGGTTTTATATTATTTTTTTGACCTGGAACAAAAATTGGGTCTTGAATCAGTCGTCACAGCTGTCAAAGAAAATTTAAGTTCGGTAAACTCCTTGATCAAATCGTTGTGTCTAATACATGGTTTATACGGCTACCCGGCGGAGACTGATAAACCAGGTAAAAGCTAGCGATTGAACGGTACTTAGTATAGTCCTTGCTTGGTCTAACGTTAAGTTGGCTATGTTAAGGCTATATTAAACGAGCTAATAGGTCTTGTAATTTGCAAAGTAGTTTTGGTCACAGAGCAATGATCGATGTAAAAAAAGCTTGCCTTAACTGAAAAAGATAAACATAGCTGACATGAATTTCAATCTGCCAATACATTTCATTCTCTTGAATGAACAAATTTAATAGACGTTAAATAAGGCTATCTAAGCGTCCAAAAATTATCTGTGAATAATTTTACATAACAGGCACTGCGACCAAAACTGCGTTGCAAATTACAAGACCAGTCGGCAACCAATCAGTCATGTAAATAATGTAAACAAGTTCTCCTTCTGTATAATATAGCCATTATAGGTCGATTTTGTTTGGCTTCTTAGTTCGAACGAATGCACTTGGCACATGTCACAACTCTTAACCTACTTCATGGTGGGTTGCTATTTTATCTGCAACCATATTCTTAATCACGCATAGACAGCCTTTAATACCAGAGATTTAGCGAGTCGAGAATCGGGAGTAGTATTAAATTATACAGTCCCCCCCCCCCCCGCAAAAAAGGCATGGCTGTGTTCCAAATGAATTTCTA